TAGCTCACTTCCTGTTTAGCTTTTAAAAAAATTCTGGCTACTTGTACACACACATATGTTAGTATTTAGCATGGTAATTGAAATGTTCTGCGACTGAAATCTTTTCTAGTTTTATTTCAGCTTAACTTGACAGGGATTCACATAAAAATTCCTGAAGATGCCTTAGTTATCTTTTAGAGCAATATGAAAAGAGGAGAATAGCTAAGGCATAAAAGATATTCACCCAATTCATATGAGAAAACAGGACATGCACATACAGAGGTTCAAAAGGACTATTTTATGAGACCAGAAAAACCTGCATATTAAGTGGGCCTGAGGGATCATATTAAAGAACTAACATTGAACTCACGTTTCACTACATGACTTAAACACAAATGGAATCTGAAAAGATTTTTGTCAGCAACGTTAATGAACTGCTGCAAATCAATGTTGTCAATGCTTGGAGATAGACCAATGGTTTGACATAGTATAAAACAGCTGATTAGAGTATGTGTTTTATTCTTTTGTAGCTACTATTTCCATAAGATTTATTTTTAATCTTTCAAACTATTGATAAAACTGCTGTATGATTAACTATAGAATCACCACTGTTTTATAGTTATTAGAGCTTCTCTGTGTCAGAATTATTACCATTTATAGCATTAAATAATAAGTCACTGAACAAATCTTTATTGTATGTTCCTTTCCTTCCATGTAAAATTGATCATGAAAAACTCATATAAGTGTTCATCCTGAGTTTTGAATCAGGATGATTGAGACCTAAATTTTCCACCATAATAATAGTGCAACCTTAATTATTATAGCCCAGCTGTCCTGGAATTATGATTAAATAAATAATTACGATAGCTTTAAATGGAACATTTTCAACCTTAGCACAGTGTAGACTGCAAAGTAAAAGCCCCAATACGCAAACCTTAATTGAGTTTCTTACATTAATATATGGTTACAACACAATAGTATCACACAGCAGTATTATTAAAAGCAACATGGAATGAAGAATGAAATATTGCTAGGAAAGTTGAAATGGAACAAAAAAAGAAAAAGAAAATGAAATAAACTGTTAAAAAAATAGCAAAATCTCATGATTATGTTATTTTTTTTATAATATCATTAATTTGAGAACCTGTAGCTCAGATAAAATGAATTAAATACATAACAATTTGGAGATTTCATACATTTTCATAGATAGCAATATTATGAATATAGTCAGGCAATACATTTATATCCATTGTACCTACAATAAAAATCTCATCTATGATGAATCAGAATCAGAATCAGAATTCCTTTACTTTAAGCAAGTGTAAATGTAAACTAGTCTTACAAATAATTACTTTGTGGTGTGTTGCAAGATTTTTCTGGTTGTGTTTTGTTAGCTAAGCATGAAGTGGCACCAGAAAATGGGAAAAGACTTTTATCCAACTAATAATTGATGTTTCAAGTTTGGGGTATATCATAAAGCCCTAGCCAATCTAAGGTCAATACAAAAAAGATTATTAAATTCATATTTAATATATTATAACAGTATCAAAGTAGAGATGTACAAAATATTCATTAATATAGTTTACCACCCATAATAATAATAATTTATTAAATTTATATGCTGTCAGATTTTCTATTACTATAAAGCTACATGTTAACTCAGTTTAATGGAAATCTGTCCAAAGCCGAAGTAATGTCTATTATTACTGAAATCATCATACTCTACTCAACATATACAGTGTAAAAATAATTAGCAAAAGTCCAACGAAATATTTAAAATCAGCACCAACAATGTGCAATTACTGATAGTCCTCCATCTTACAACAATTCACTTAGTGACCATTTGAAGTTATAATGGTATTGAAAAAATACAATTTTTCACACTTATGAGCGTTGCAGCATCTCCATGGTCACATGATCAAAATTCAGACAGTTGGCAATTGACTTATATTTATGACTGTTGCAGTGTCCTGGGATCACATGATCACCTTTTCTGATCTTTTGACCAACAAAGTCAATGGGGAAGCCAGATTCACTTAACAACCATGTTAACTGTCTCATTTAGCAGCAGAAATTTTGGGCTCAATTGTGGCTGTAAGTGAAGGACTACCTTGCCTTCAGAAATCGTGGATGCTCCATCACTGGAGGTTTTTAAGAAGAGACTAGACAGTTACTTGTCTGAGATGGTATAGGTTCTCCTGCTTGAGCGGAGGGTTGAACTAGAAGACCTCCAACGTCCCTTCCAGTTCTATTCTATTCTATTCTATTCTATTCTATTCTATTCTATTCTATTCTATTCTATTCTATTCTATTCTATTCTATTCTATTCTTACTGAACACAAATTTTAAAGAGTTTTAACCACAAAGACATCATTATTCAAATAATGGTTTGAAGACTTTGGGGTGAAAAATAAATATATTGCATCTTATGCTATAAGATGTTAAGAACTGCATAGTTTGTAAGAAATCAAACTATCTACAATACATAGCTTGCTCAACTGGTTAGGGATTCAAAATGTTAGACCAGGCATGTTAAACTAGTGACGTCATGTTATGTCACGTGACATATCGGAGCTTTTTTGCCATTGCAGACAATGGGGTGGACGCGGCTCCAGTATGATGAAACCAGCCCATGGGCCGGCAGTTTGACACCCCTGTGTTAGACTTTTGGTTGAGGATTGTTTGCCACTAACTGAAATCTTTATGCACTTGGCTCTATTTTGTACATATATCTCTGATGTACTTGAACTCCAAATTTGCTGTGCTGTCCATGTTGATTAGTCCATAGTTAAACCAAAGGACCTCGGTATTACAAAACTTCAGAGATAAATCTTTATGGAGGATAATACAGACAAGCCTGAAGTCAAGTAAATAAATTTATTTATACCTATAGGAAAATGCTTAGCACACCAATGAAATATTAGATAGATATATCAATAACTGGAGCAATGTAACCTAATGATTTATGATATAACGTAGGTTCTATCAGGTTATTAGTGTTGTAGATAAATAGGACTATTGGCATAAATGTTAAGGATTAGCAGTTTTGTTTCACTCAAGGCAATTACAATTGATTTGTAGAAGTATGTGGGCTTTCAAAAAGACTTTTATAAGATACTTTTTCTTGATTATTGAAAAACCCCTTTAAAACGCTCCAAGGACTGTTTATTCTTGAACATAGTTTCATGCCACCCTCTATTGTGATCTGATACAACATTTCAGGGAAAGTAATGACTTTGTTTCACTAAAGAAACAGAATTTGATGATATGGTATCTATAGTTGATATTTCATACTCATTACTCTCTAATACTTAACCTTTATCATATACAGTGGGGCTGGGAAGAGGGTCTTAATTTTAATCTTATTGATTAATTGATTATTAATATAATCAATATATTAAATTTATTAGTGACAAACCAATCTTATGGACAAATACATTTTCAGTGATGTACCTAAACTGGTAAAATGCTAAACCTTTTCAATATTTTTCAAACATGCAGAGCCAGTGCTTGAATTAGAGGAAAACCAAAGCATTTTCAACCATTTTACTATCAGTCCATGTTTTCTATTCCTGAGCACCTTTAACCTGAAATAAGTAAATATCAAAGGTGGTCCATGAACCAATAAAGTTCTCCAGATGATCCACCACATGTTCATCTGCTACCACTGAGTTACCATCTCAGCCATATCAACCTGTGCTCAGTGACACCAGAAAACCAGCTAGCTTTTGGTACAAACATGGAAGTCTCCAGTGGTTAGGTAGCTAAAGCCTGTTCATTGACTTAGCTTGTCTGTCCATTCATATCACAAATCCACTGGCTAGACCAGGGGTAGGCAACTTGGGCTCTTTTATGACTCGTGGACTTCAACTACCAGAATTCCTGAGCCAGCCATGCTGAGCCATGCTGGCTCCAGGAATTCTGGGAGTTGAAGTCCACAAGTCATAAAAGAGCCAAGGTTGCCTACCCCTGGGCTAGACCAATGTTCATGGCTAGACTAGAGTCCCCATTGTAAGAGGGAAATCAATACCTAATTTTGAACTGTACTTTTAGTACAAACTTTACGTATTTTATTATGGAGGTGAGGGAAGGGATATAGAATTACAAATATAATTATTTTATTTACCCATGCTACTAAACATAGAAATTCAGGGAATAAGTATTTATTTAATGGACTGGTCTCAAGATTCTTTTTTTAATTATTTAGTGGTCAATTTTTGCTAAAGGAAAGAAACATTGGATTAAACACTGAGCACAAGGTATAACACATAATGTCAACTGCCACTTTATGCTTGCTTGTGCTTCACTGCTATGTGGTGACAGACTGCCAACAACTGTGGGAAGGGAGAATAAAAAGGGGAAGGCTTGGGGAAAACAAAAGTAAATGCTGTGTCTCCTTGAGACGCTGCCTCAAGGTCACTGGAAGAACCAAACCATGCTTAGACTGTTATGAAAACATCTTGCCTGAACCTGATCATTTACAATGGGGTAGGCAATGAGAGATAGTTAAGGGAGGGGAAAGTAGAACTTAGTGAATTTGGCACACAATTCTCAGTTTTGGCTTTGCAATCGCTTCACCGCTAATAAACTGTCCCTTTCTCAACAAATGGAGCCCAGGATCATTTCTGTTTAGAAGTTTAAATTGTTTAAGATTTGATACATAAATTAATTAAAGTTCCCCCCCCCAAATATTCACTTTCAGAAGGAAGTAAAAATAGGATATCCTCCAGTAAAAATCAAAGTACATCAGTATGAAATAACTCTGCTCTTAGAGTACTCTTCTGTTTCAAAGGCTGCTTCCTTTGTTTATTATTCCATTTGCAAATAGAATGCACTGTCACAGAACTAAGCAAGCATTCAGATGAAAATTAGCAGCTTTCAGACTGTCAGCCAACACTACTCACTTCAGTACTTTTTAAACGGTTCTCTAAAGCAACATTTTGTAAAGTGCATATATATGCATGCATAAATATACACTTCCTGTTCCTCATTTTTTTTCTTTCTCTCCTTTTCTCTCCTCCCGCAATATTTGCTGTTCTTGAAATGTTTGCTGCATGTAATTGAAGCTTAAGTCCAGCAAAGAACATATGGTGAGCATTGATTGTTTCCTTTTGATGTTTTTTTTTAATTTGCTATGTCTATCAATGACTTTCACAGATCATTAACCTTACTGTTGTTTATCCAAATTCTTTCTGAGTTAGCAATCATTTTCAAACATTTCTCCAGTCAATCAAATTCACATTAATAGCTGGCTTGTCCCTGGTGCAGTTTTATTGTTGTCATATCCTGGCACACTTTATAAGCTATTTGTGTGAGGATGGAACATACTGTATACATTTTGAATACATTTGAAAGTTGTTTTCCTTTCCTTTCCCTCTTCTCTTCTCTTCTCTCCTCTCCTCTCCTCTCCTCTCCTCTCCTCTCCTCTCCTCACCTCACCTAACCTCACCTCACCTCTCCTCCCTTCCCCTCTCCTTTTCTCCCCTCTTTCTATGATAAAGAAATAAGGAAAATGAATAGACACATTGTTCATATTCAAGATGAAAAAAAAATAACCTTCTGCTTATAGCTTTACAGGCCATGTTGTTGGTTGTTTCAGATGAAGGGGTTGTGACTAATGATCCTCTTTTATAGTTTGTCAGTTCATGGTGAAGAACTCTGTTTACCTACACAGGGTACAGGTAGTACATCCTACTTCAAGGGGAAAAAAAGCAGTGAATTTTGGCCTGCTCCTTAGTCACAATTTATGCTGGGCAAATTAGATAAGTCTTCAGCTTCTCCACACTAATTTTTATAGGAGAGTTGTGATTGACTGCCATGATAGCTAGTTAAACTATTTAATTATAATGGTACATTGTCTAAAACAGGGGTCCCCAACCCCCGGTCTGTAGACTGATACTGGGCCATGGCATACCAGCAACCGGTCCTCACAAATGAGCAAAACCCCATCCACAGGAAGCAGGCAGCACACAAAATCATGCCCCCTCCAGTCCGTGGAAAAATCTCTCTCCACTAGTCCCTGATGCCCAAAAGATTGGGGACCTCTGGTCTAAAAGTACATTAATACAACAGCAGCAGAATGATTTGAAGGAAGGTCGCAGTATAATACTACAGAACTTTAAGACAGGATATAGAGAATTTTTACTGGAAACAATGTGACTAACATCTATGTGTGCTTAATAATAGTCATTTAATTCGTAACATAATTCAATGAATAATAAGGCAGTTGGTTGCAGCTGACATGTGGAAGCCATTATTCTTAGTATAAAATGATAGCACACATTCTGGTAAAAATGGTGATTTCTTTAAGCAAGGGAAGTTCTTTGGGTTTGGACACTATATTATTTATGAAAGAGTCTTTTAAGACTTTGTTAAGAAATGTTGGTTCTTAAACATTGGATTTTGAATATTTTTTGTATGTTGGCATAGCTTTTAATTATTATACTTAATTTTATTTTATCTGTGGTTCAGCATTTTCATAGAGGGCATATGGTCCTGAAATGCATCATTTTAAAAGATTATAAATCTTATCAATCTCTGTAGAAATTTATAATTGTCTGAGTTTTCATGATTTTCATCACAATTAATTAATAAACCTCCAGACTTCACAGTTTCTTAAAGTTATTTTTAATAGCACTTGAGAATAATTGTAAGATACTCTGGTGTCCCATAACTTGTATCTACTGAATATTACATATCTTATTATTCTGGAATACATTAATATGGACATACAATTTGAGATTATGAAGAAGACTTCTATTAGTGATGCTATTTACTCCGATAGTATTGTTGTTGTTGTTAATTGCGAAGTCATGTCCGACCCATTGCAACCCCATGGACAACATTCCTCCAGGTCTTCCTGTCCTCTACCATCTTCTGGAGTCCATTTAAGTTCACACCTACTGCTTCAATGACTCCATCCAGCCACCTCCGATAGTATACTAGAAGTAATTAGTGGACTTATGGACAGACATATTCTATTATATTCTTCAGAGCCTTGCTACTGGGTGGTAGAGGAAACATAGTTTTAGATTATTTAACTCTCTAGTTTAGGAAGCATAATTTCCCTCATGGGGCACAATCAAATTCATCTGAAGATATTCTCTGTTCATTTATGGAATAGACCCCTTACATCCTAGGCATAAACTGTTTCAACTCCTCCCCTCAGGAAGCCATGATAGGGCATTGCATGCCAAAACAACTAGACACAAAGATAGTTTCTTCCCCCATCCCATCACTCTGCTAAACACCTAACTCCCACAATACTGTCTTATGACTAAAGATATTTACCCATGTAATAGGCTGTATTGCTATTATCCTTGTCGTCTTCTCGTCTTTCTCATCTTCTCATTTTTCTCAACCTTACCTTTCCTATTACCTTCTCCTATTGGTATGTTATGATTTATCAATTGTTTGATCTTATGAGTTATTATTATATTATTGTATGTACACTGAGAGCTTATGCATTGGAGATAAATTTCTTGTGTGTCCAATCAATCACACTTGGCTAATAAATTCTATTTTATTGTATTCTATTAAAGACCAACAGCTTAAAAACACACTACAAAAAAACCTAAAGCCTGAATTGTGGACAGATTTTATCATGTTTCTTTGAGAGTCTTCGTACGTTGCCCCTAGTTTCTCATGTCTTTTTTGTATTAAGTTGTTACTGCTTGCCTTGGAGTCCTGTCAGAAAAACAGGAAAAATATTAATAATAAACAGCATAGCAAGTCAAAGAACAATTTTCCTGAGGGGGATGAAATCCTTTCCTTTGCAGTTCTCTATTGCTGGCATGTGTATTTCCTTGACCTACATTTTGTGAAGCTGCTGCATTCCTGCGTACATTTACCTGGATGAAGGGCCACGGTTTACAAGTGCAAACCAGGGTTATCTGATAGCCCTTCCATTCCTGTGCACACACACCTCTCCGAACACTTTTGTTGAGCTCAGTTTTCACCTTTAATTTGTTTTGCTAACTTAACTAGAAATTCTTTCAATATAGTTTGGAAGAAAAACAGCTAGGAAGCTTAGGAAGCTTCTAAAAAGAAAAAGAGAGAGAAAAATGTTCTTCCAAAACCTAAAATTTCTCTGTATTTTGAAGACCCTATCTACATGTCTGTCTGTCTGTCTGTCTGTCTATCTCTCTCTCTCTCTCTCTCTCTCTCTCTCTCTCTTACACACACACACACAAACACACTCCAAAATCTCCCAATCCCAAACTTCCAACAATTTAAAGGATTTCCCTTTTTTACCAGAAAATTTGCTTCAATTTATATTAACTACGATGGAATCCAATTTTCAGATGCAGCTAACCATCATTCATCGCTTTTTTGCTATCCTTCCAGCAATATCTGGATATAGTTCACTGCCTGCTTAAAAAGACCAAGCATGATATTTGATCCTGTCTCAGAGAGATCATATGGCTTAATATTCAGATAATTTCAGATTTAGTGGATTTAAATAATAAATCTACCTTGTACTTTATATTAAATGTTTTAAGAACTGGACTGGAATAGAATAGAATAGAATAGAATAGAATAGAATAGAATAGAATAGAATAGAATAGAATAGAATAGAATAGAATAGAACTTGGAGGTCTTCTAGTCCAGCCTCCTGCTCAAGCCGGAGAACCTATACCATCTCAGACAAGTGACTGTCTCGCCTCTTCTTAAAAATATGAACTCTGGGTAAGGGAAAATAAAGCCCAGTAGAGCAGAGCAGAGTAGAATAGAGTAGAGTAGAGTAGAGTAGAACTGGAAGGGACCTTGTAGGTCTTCTAGTCCAGCCTCCTGCTCAAGCCAGAGAACCTATACCATCTCAGACAAGTGATTGTCTAGCCTCTTCTTAAAAATCTCCAGTGATGGAGCACCCACGATTTCTGGGGGCAAGCTGTTCCACTGGTTAATTGTCCTCACTGTCAGGAAGTTTCTCCTTAATTCCAGGTTGCTTCTCTCTTTGATAAATTTCCAACCATTGTTTCTTGTCCTACCCTTTGGTGCTTTGATGAATAATTTGACCCTCTCTTCTTTGTGGCAGCCCCTCAAATACTGGAATACTGCTATCATGTCTCCCCTATTTCTTCTTTTCTTTAGACTAGCCAAACCCAAATCTCGCAGCCGTTCTTCATATGTATACTGTATGGTTGGTGTGGTTCGTGATATTAAGGAAACATTAGAAAATTAAAGCAACTACTATTTCTGTCATTAAAAATTGCATTTTTTTAAATGTCACAAGATAGGCTTAAAGTAGTGAAATTGCAAATTAATGCAAAGTCATGGAAAGAATAGCTAGAAAAATGTACGGGCAACTTGACATAAAGCCATAACTGAATATATCAATATGGAGATGATCAAGTATGAAAATTTCACATCAGGGCAAGTTGCTTTCACAATATACAGGTAGTCCTCAACTTATAACTATCCACTTAATGACTGTTTGAAGTTACAACTGTTTTCACATTTTTGACCATTGTGGCATCCCATGGTCACATGATCAAAATTTGGATGCTTCGAAAGTGGCTTGTATTTATTCAGAGTCACGTGATCACCTTTTGCAACCCTCTGACAAACAATGTCAATGGGGAAGCCAGATTCACTTAGCAATTGTGTTACTAACTTAATAAGTGCAATGATTCACTTAATAACTGTGGAAAGAAAGGTCATAAAATGGGACAAGACTCACTTAACAACTGTCTTGCTTAGCAATGGAAATTTGGGGGCTCAATTATGGTCATAAGTTGAGGACTACCTGCAGTTCAGGCAAGACTCATTGTCATGACTTTAAGATATTCTGCTTCTGAGCCTTGATACAAAAACTTGTTGATCAGTACAACAAAAGCCTTTGGGACTCTTTAAATCCTTGGAGGCTGCTGTTTCTGTGATGTCCTGGTTGCCATGAGTATATGCAAGCAAATGCAGATTAAACATCACAGAACAGGCTTCAAAATTAATGATGCAGGAGAGAGGAGACAAGACTATGTGTCCTTTAGAAATTAATTAAAATGCATCACTCTGCCCTTTCATGCTATAAGGATATTTTGGTCTTTTGTTTTTGTTTAAATCATAATATATGCATTCAAGTCTCTGGTGACCAGTTGGGAAAATTGTACACTTGTTTGTTTTTCAATTTGCTATGCCGTTGTGCATTTAGGTGGAAAAAATGTCCTTAACTGCTCACAGCTGTACTTAGCAAATGTTTAGTATATGTTGCTGTACATTACTTTATCCTTCCTTTCTACAAAGTTTGAATAGAATAGAATAGAATAAAATAGAATAGAATAGAATAGAGCTGGAAGGGACCTTGGACCCTTCTAGTCCAGCCCCCTGCTCAAGCAGGAGAACCTATGCTATCTCAGACAAGTGACTGTCTAGCTTCTTCTTAAAAACCTCCAGTGACGGAGTGCCTACAATTTCTGGAGACAAGCTGTTGCACTGGTTAATTGTCCTCAGTGTCAGGAAGTTTCTCCTTAATTCCAGGTTGCTTCTCTCTTTGATCAGTTTCCAACCATTGTTTCTTGTCCTGTCCTCTGGTGCTTTGGAGAATAATTTACCCCCTCTTCTTTGTGGCAGCTCCTCAAATACTGGAATACTGCTATCATGTCTCCCCTATTTCTTCTTTTCTTTAGACTAGCCAAACCCAAATCCTGCAGCCATTCTTCATATGTTTTATTCTCCACGCTTTTGATCATCTTAGTTGCTGTTCTCTAGTTTTTTTTTTTTTCCAAATTCTCGACATCTTTTTTGTGATATGGTGACCAAAATTGGCTGCAGTATTCCAGGTTGGTCTTACTAGGGTTTTATAAAGCAGTACTAATACTTTGCATGATCTTGATTCTGTGGCTAAACCCATGGAATCTAAACTTTCTTTCTTCCTTTGAAGAGCTATAGCTATAAAGAGATGTTACTCTACAATGTGAAGGATCAAGGTATTTATATTTGGGTGAAGGGATAAAGATGGGGACTCTAGCTAAATCAGACCCACTCTCATTATTTCCAGGTCTCCAGGATTGAATCTGGCATTCAGTAAGAATTTGGGTTAAAATTGAACTTCACTGTACTAGAATAGTGTAGAATTGTTACTAACAATGAAGTCGAAGAGGTGTTTCTCTACTTGAAATAGGAAATCAAATTAAAATGTTCCTGACAGTTATTAAGCCACCTCTTGAAGATATTCAACAATGAGAAGTTTGCTAATTCTTTCAATTGATACGAAAGTCAAACTGCTCTGAACTGCAATCTGCCTTCCTATAGCTTAAAGCAAGCTATTGTCCCATGATTTCCTCCAATTTGGGACAAATTGTTTGACTGGGCCTCTTTTGTGCAAAGACTTTTCTTTATGGTATATAAGTCTCATAAATAAATAAATAAATGGTCTATGGAGTCCCACCAAAGCAAAATCTCAGTAGGCAATTGTCTCCAGCTGCTTCCAAGTGTATACAAGCAACACTTCCATTTGGGGACAGGCAATTAAGTAGTTACACATGCATATGTTCATGGAGACAAAATAAAAAGGTTTCAGAGCATCTGGTCTGGACTTCTTGAAGAAATGTCTGTTTTGAAGCATTTAAGGCATGGCAGCCTCAATCATATTAGATGTTTAATAAATCATCCTTTGGGGCATTTTGCATAGCCTGAGTGAACATATCATTTCTCTATGTTTCACATTTTAAAATGGTAAGCAACCACAGGAGACTGGAAACCACTTTGAATCTTCAAGATACCTGCCCCCCATACATACACACACACACACACACACACCAATAATATCTATATAATATCTAAAAGTTAAATATATCAGGAAATTGAATATATGATATCCTAGTAACAGAAAATATACTTCTCTTCATGGAAGGGACTAAAATCAATCAGGAATTGTATTTTAGAATTGGAGGGTTTTGTTGAGGTTGTTTTTTTTTTCAAATTAAAACAATTTAGATTTTGTTTTGTGTTTTTTTGTGATTTTTGTGATTTTTTTTACAAAATCTAAATTGTTTTAATTTGTACATGGTTTCAGTCAATCAGATTCTTAGTGATTCACAAAAACTAAAACATAATAGAGTTAAAGCATTTAGAGCCAAAGCTGAATAAATTAAATGAGTTCCCTTGCTACATTAGAAATTCTTTTAAAATATAACCCATCCTCCTTACAAAGACTTTACAAGTTTCGGGAACTAATTGCCATTTCCTTATTTTCACAATGCAGTAGGTTTTCAGCCATGGATATATTGGATTCAGGCTTTTAGCCTTGCAGTGAAATGTTGTATTAGAGTTGCTGCCAAATTTATCCTCAAGCAAACCATATAATTCAGAATAAATGCTATAGTTCCAGCACACTAGAATCTAGTTTTGTTGTGATTATTCTGTTCTAAGTTCTGTCACACTTCCATCAGTTCTTTAATCATGCATATATAAACAACAAAATTATTACTTTGTTTGAGTAGAATATTTTTGTCCTGCAAAATAACTTTGGATTAGATTGATGATGTGTATTAAAATCAGAAATAAACAATTGAGTACGGTACTTGTATGTTATAAAAAGCACAATGCTTACATATTTATTCAGCCTGATATCACATCATTCAATGAGTGCTCTGCAGCAACCCACAACATGATTTTATATATCTGAACAATTTAAAGCAGCCAGAATGGGGGCCCCAAAGCAGAAGAAATGATTATCATTTAATATGAAGAGTAGCTCATAAAGTGACAATTGTTCCCGCTCACCAGGATTATTCTGAAGTGTCATATGCTGTCATGTGCACTCTGTATGGGATTTCATCAACGTATTACAAGAAAAGGCAACTGTGGTCTTCTGGATTTCACAGATGAACGTCAGCTATTTGTCATGGCCTAAAACAGCTAACTGAGATTGCTTATAGTAATGTTTCTGAATATATCACTTGCTTGCTTTTAGGAGAATGTGATAAGATCAAGTTGACTGAATAGAGATCTATGTAACTATTGGGAGAGAGAGGTGAAAAGCTTTGCATAAGCAGCATATATTGATATATTTGTAGGTTAAGAGGATTTTTTTAAGCATTCAGAAAGGGTGAAAGACAACGAAAAAAACTGTAATCAATGCAATTGATATGGCAGAGACTTGAAGACATATAATATTCATGTATCAAAATAGAGGAAGAACGTTCCAAACCATATCTTCACAAATTTGGAAAGCAACTCTCCAAATTTTAGTAAAGTCATTGCTATTGATTTCATTGGTAAATGATGGTGATCAGAATTTCCATGATAATTTTTATTTTTTGTTTGCTACCATAAAAGTTTGCCCCAATGGTAGCAATATCATGTCAAGAGTACTTTTAAAATGTGTACGTCAAGGTTGGATAGAAAGTAATTCATATCTGGACTGAAAAGTTTTCCCATTCTTGAATTTGGCCTTGGAAGAATTATCTGGATATACTCCCATAGCTGACTTTAAAAAAAAAAAAAAAAAAAGCAACCCTCTGTTTGCTTTGATATGTTCCAAATTAGTTTAGCATTCTGTTTAACTGAAGTGCTGTTCTTCTCTGGTGATTTCTCAACCAATTTCCTATTTTACAAAAACAGATGGCCAACTCATGGCTTTTACCGCCAATGCAAATCTGTGCTATACTTTGAAACATTGGCAGAATTCTCTGTGTTCCATTTTGGAATTCTTACATTCCATTTAATGGTGGCAGCTAGACTTTAGCTGTCCATTAAAAAATGGAAAACTTAGGCGAGAGAAACAGAAAAGCTTTAGAAATGCATTAACAGTACTTCAGGGAACCGAAATGGTTTAGATGATTGAGCAGATGCAAGCCAAGAGTAAAATATTTAGTGTGCTAAAAACCATTGAAAGGTAAACACTATCTTTGCTTAATTTTGGTTTTCTTCCAAAGTATCTCATATAGAGTTTTTGGGGGAGGCCGAAAATCTAGTCCTTTAAGGAATGTAACTGGAAATGTCTGACATAACCTGTAATACGCCAATTATTACAGTAGCAGCAAAATATAGAGTAGAAGCCTAGCATTAAGATATCCTAGTTAAAAGCTTTTTTTTTTCTCTCTTTGAGGCAGCTCATTATTCATTTGCTTGTCTGCTGTTTGCTGGTTCCAGTCTTAACCTGGAAAATCAATTTTAAAATGACAACTAACTCAGTAGGACATCTGGGTTGATGGTGAAATGTTGCACATCTCTTGATCCTGTGCACTGGCCCAGGTGCTCGTTGGCCCTTATGTCATTTCTGATGTAATCACTGCATTCAGCTATCAGCATGAACTCTCTGCACTTGGGATCCTCTGGCAGAGAGCCGGCTGATGTGAGACTGAGAGGCTAGGAATAGAAGGAATAGAAGGCAACTGGCTCAAGGGACTTGATGGATACCTTAGAATACCTAAATCTTAAAGCACAAGTATTTCCACATCAGGAAATATTGATTTCAACAACCTCCAGGTAACTTATTTCGTATACAATCTTTATTGTTTTTATTCAGCAAATGAAGCATTAGGGTGGAGAAGTAAAAAGAAGAAGAAAAAAAAAAACCCAGGTAGAACTGATAAAGTTTTAAAACTCAAACAAACAGCAATAAGGGGAAAAATACATATTGAATCCCAAATACATAAATAAGCATTTATTTATAAATACATAAATACAAATATATAAATATAAATACATAAATAAGTATTATTTACATAAATACACAAGTAAGCATTTAAATAAAAGCCACTTTGAATATTTCTATCCAGAAAAGGATTGCATGTTTAGATTCCTCTGAACCTTTGCATAATCTGTGAACTTTGTAAATGTCCCTTATTCAAGTCACTGAAAAAATGATTGAACAGCACAGGGTGCAGGGCAGAGCCTTGTGGCACTCAAAGTTTTTTTTTTTTTTTTCCCCAGGCTGGAGCCACTAATGAGTACTCTTTGGAATGACCATTCAGTCAACTTTGAGCTCATCTAACAGGAAATCCATATTTTACCATTTCATAAAGAACAATATTTTGAGGCACTCTATAAAGGCTTTGCTGAGATCCAGGTAGGCTATGTCTACATACAACATCCTTCTGTAAATTGTAAATGCCAAACCAAATCTAAGTTCTGTTGGGTCTTCCTTCTTCCCCTTTTTGAAGATAGCAGTGATATTTGTTCTTCTCTTGGCAGTACTGAAAGATGTTCTAAAAGATTACCAAGAGTAGTTCTTTAATATTCCACCAGCAGGTAATACTTTTATCTGAGAGATTTTTCATTTGGACTTTCAAACATTGTCATAAGATCTAAATGAAGTCTAGATTTGCTTATATGTTGAGGGATTGCACTTGAAAGATTGTTTGCCATAATTTTTGAATAGCTAAAAATTGACACTGAAAATGGTAGTAAATTCCTTCTTACTTATTTTACTGAGCCATATATATGATTAAGCATGACACATTTAAATACAATCTGTGTACAGTCTACATGTTGTTTTCTCTTGCTTTAGCTGAAACTGATTTTTGTATACAAATAAAGCTCAACTTAGCTTCCTCAGTAAGGGAAACTAGGAACTTTTTCCAGGTTGTTTCATGATCCTTGGATAATATCTGCACATTAGAGTATAACTATAGAGATTAAATATAGCTACATTTAGAATAGAATAGAATAGAATAGAATAGAATAGAATAGAATAGAATAGAATAGAATAGAATAGAATAGAATAGAGTTGGAAGGGACCTTGGAGGTTTTCTAGTCCAGCCCCCTACTCAAGCAGGAGAACCTATACCATCTCAGACAAATCGCTGTCCAGTCTCTTCTTAAAAACCTGTGTTGGAGCATTCACAACTTCTGGAGGGAGGTTGTTCCATTGGTTAATTGTTCTAACTATCAGAAAATTCTTCTTAGTTCTAGGTTGCTCCTCTCCTTGATTAGCTTCCATCAATTACCTCTTGTCCTGCTCTCACATGTCTTGGAGAATAGCCTAACTCCCTCTTCTTTGTGGCAACTCCTGAAATATTTGAACACTGCTAACATGTCACCCCTAGTCCTTCTTTTCATTAAACTAGACATATCCAATTCCAGCAATAGTTTTTTATTTGTTTTAGCTTCCAGTCCTCTAATCATCTTTGTTGCTCTTCTCTGCACTCTTTCTAAAGTCGCAACATCTTTTTACATCGTGGTGACCAAAACTGGATGCAATATTCCAAGTGTGGCCTTACGAAGGCATTATAAAGTGATATAAACACTTCATGTGATCTTGATTCTATCCCTCTGTTGATGCAGTCTAGAAGTGTGTTGGCTTTTTTGGCAGGTACAACACACTGCTGGCTCATATTTAAGTGATTGTCCACTAGGACTCCAAGATCCCTCTCACAGTTACTACTATTGAGTGAGGTACTGCCTATGCCAGGGGTAGGCAACCCAAAACACTCAAAGAGCCACTTGGACCCGTTTCCCACCAAAAACAAAACACTGGGAGCTGCAAAACCCTTTTGATATCTAAAATGAAGATAACACTGCATATATCCTTTTTTACCTTTATTATAGGTGTGTGTGTGTGTATGTGTGTGTGTTATATATATATATATATATACACACACACACACACACGCACACACACACACACACACAGAGAGAGAGAGAGAGAGAAGCAGGGAAGTGCAAGTGCCTCTCTCTGTCTCTGTCTCTCTCTGCAACGGCAGAGGAGGCTGGGAGCCACAGGGGAAGGCTCAAAAAGCCGCATGCGGCTCCGGAGCCGCAGGTTGCCGACCTGTGGCCTATGCTATACCTGTGCATTTGGTTTTTCTTACCTAAATGTAGAACCTTACTTTTTTCACCATTAAATTTCATTTTGTTAGCTAGCGCCCAATGTTCAAGTCTGTCAAAATCCTTCTGTATCTTAAGCTGTCTATTTAAGCCATCTAAGCAGTCATTGCAAGTGGTTCTTCTTAGATAAGATAGCCCTTGACACTTTCTTATATATTTAAAAGTGGCACTTTTTGTATCAGTTGCTCCATTTTCATTAAAGGGATAGTCCCTTCATCTTTAATTTATAGCAGCGGTTCTCAACGTTTGTGTGACGGCGACCCCCGTCACACAAACGTTATGCGCATGCGTGGCACGGCGGCGCCCCCATGCATGGTGCGCATGCGCGGCACTGCCCCCGGAGGGGAGAAAATGGCGGATCGCCGCCTTTGGTGACCCCCGGAAAACGGTCGATCGACCCCAAATGGGGTCGCGACCCATAGGTTGAGAACCGCTGGTTTATAGGCTTCATGTGAAAGTAAAGACTTAATGGATTTGTAACTATGTTTAAAGTACAGACTGCAAAGAATATATTATTCTTTATTTTACAAAATAATAATAATAATCAATTTAAGTCTAGCCTTTCTTGATTTTAAGCTGCACATATTTACTTTCATGAAAATTTAAATGGAGACCTAAGGGTGGGGTCAGAGAGAACATTTCAGAATCTTTTTGTTTCTTTCCATTAATGCATCACTGCCAAATTCTCTAGCATTTTTTTTTTAGTTTTTCATATGGCATTATGCTTATACTATTAGTTTCATTTGAATTAGTTTCTTTTCAATTCCATATTTAAATATGTCTTATTGGGAGTAGTTAACTTGAAATGACACACATATGTACAAATAAAACATTTTAAACTGAGTCATCCTAAATCTCCTTCCTTGCCTTAGAAATATAGTCTTTCTCAATCAAACGCTTTTGCCAACTTTTGACATCTTCTCTGTCAAGGTTTTAGAATGAGAGATGAATTAGAAGCACCTGAGACAGTTAAGCCAGCATAGGTAAAAGTCATTTTTATAACAACCACATTCCCTAACCAAGACAACTGTTATTTAATCTATTTTTGTGATTTGATCATTTTGTAATGACTGGATACATAATTATAATAACAAATCCATTTACCTTCTGTAAAACCTAATTTGTATGGTGCCCTCTTCTCCAGCATCTGAATAATTTATAACAGTAAAACTGTCATGGTTCCGATAGATGAGACCAGTAAAAGCAGAACATCAAGACAAGAGGTTTCCTTAAAGAATATGTTTATTGGCTACAAACTATCAGCACAGTCAAAAGTGAAACCAAGTCTGGAGTTCCCTCCAAAGTGTTACAATGTTACAAAGTTGAACTTCCCACCCCAGCACTACGTAACTAACTATGTTCCCCAATAGAATACTTTGGCAGGCTTTTTAACGGAAGGCTCAGCCAGCCAAAAGTCAGCTAGCAATGACCTTGGTTCCCACAGGACAAAATATTATTTAGTCTAAAATTAAAACCACCCATTCCCTCCTCCCAGTACTGTGGCAACCAAAAACGAAACAAAAATGGCTTCAGCTAAGATTGTTGCAGTGTTGACAAAAACATCATGACATATATAAATCTGTCAGTTCCTAAGTATGATGAAGCCAAAATACTAAAACACACAGTAGTCATTGTGAAGCAAACTCTCCCTTCTTATGCCTGTGTTGCAATGTGATAAGCAACAATGAAAGGGGGGAAGGCTTTGAGAAATCATCCATTTTGCCACTTTTCCCCTGTGGCAACCCAGCAGGACATTAGGCTATTATTCCAAAAAAGAGAGTTATAATATAATTACTTACAGCATGTTTACATACTAAATGCTGTGATTTCTTATTTGTCACCTTATCCCATTATTTTTCTAAACATTTATTCCTTTTGTGTCTTATTTTTTCTTAATTTCCTACAGTAAGAAATAATTTTAACCTTGAATTTCTGGAGACCCTGTCTCTGGATTTATCATTACTCTTAGCTCCAAAATCTTCCTCCTTGTTTTTAGCCCTCATTGATTATCTACCTCCTGTTAAGACAGTGGTTCTCAACCTTTTTAATGCCGCGACCCCAACAGGTCGTAAGTCGAGAACTACTCAACCGGTCATAAGTCGAGGACTACTCAACTGGTGCAGCACCGTTTGCAGAATGGGACTTTTGGTGGGCTCAGAAGGGCAGAGACAGCCTGGACAATTCCTATTGGCTTTTGAAAGCCAATAGAATTAGACTCTATTCAAGAGAGTCCATTCTATTGGCTTTCAAAAACCATAGAATAAAAGGGAGTAGCACAGCTAAGGAAAAGGGGGGAAAATGGTGGACTGCGTTGTTTGGCGACCCCTGCGAAATGGTCATTCGACCCCAAATGGGGTCCCAACCCACAGGTCGAGAACCACTGTGTTAAGACCTTCATTACTCTTTGATTGCTTTACTACTTACTTAATATAGTATTATATTACTTTCTCTCTTCTCTTTGTCCCCTGTTCTCTCTTTCCAAAAATCCAGTTGTTTGCCTCTCTCAGCTGGATCTGAGATTGGTTGCTCATAGGCTAACTGTTGCTCATCTCCACCATTGGTCACTTTCAGATGTTAGGTTTCTCCAAATGGCCTCTTTTTTGAGTGGGTATGAAATATCTCTTCTCTTGGTCCTCTTCTTATCTCCTGATTCCATAAATGTCATACAACTTTCTTTCTTTGGTCCTGGCAGCTATATTCACTCTTAACTCTTTATATAAAAAGTCTGGAGAAATGGGAAGATGTTTTGTCCCAGCTCACCTTTGCTTGGAACACTGAAGGCTTTCAGTTCGCTGAATTGCTGATGAATTGCTCCTGTTTTGCCCCCATACATTGCCTTCTCCAACAGCAATCTCTCTTTCTTGTCCTATTACTTTATCCTCTCCCTCCACAGAAATCTTCTGAGTTGTTTGAAGCTTATTGTCTGAGGGATTTGTATCTTTTTCCTTTCCCTTTTGCCTCTTTCCATCCTCATCAAGTCATTATAACACTCTCTCAAACAGTAGCCCCTTCTCTAGCTAACAGCTAGCTCCCATCTGTCCCCAGTCTAGGTCTATTAGCTGCACTTCATCACCTCTTATAGAAAGGAACATGTCTATGTACTACAGGACCTTCAGCTCTGATGGAAGGCACTCACAGGTGGTCAATGGCCTTGGTGAGAGGCTGTGAGAGATTGTGAGAAAGCTGGGAAGAGTCAGATGAATCTATTTCAGAAAAGGCAACTCAGCCCAGCTGCTAAGAGAGGTAGAAAATTTTGTTTCAAAGAGAATCTGCCAAAACAAATTCACTATAACTGAGACTAGGAAATCCTTTTAGAATTCTGGAAATTCTATATTTACCCCAGACTAATATTAAAGATCCTTATTGAATTCATATCATTTTTATTTTCTTAATCTTGCCAGTTACACGGGACTTCAAAAACAGTAGCTAGGCAAAGGCTGCCTTCTCATGTACCCCACTGCCCTCTGCCAGTGAGAACATCAGAATTCTAAAATCATAAAGTTTATCAAAATAAAATTGTAAAAACTAGAGAATGACCTTATTTTTTAAAAAAAAAACAAAAACAAAAACAAAACAGAACCACGAGGAACAATGTAGCAGCCAGGATTCTTATTGCCTCTCTTTAAAAGGCTTTTTTTTTTAAAAAAAAAAGGATTTTGTCTTTTTTTCTGAAATACATCTAAGGGGAAACAATTCCAATTTCAGTGGAAATAAAATTCAAAGGGGTCAGAGGTGGGAGAGAATCATAACATACCTTGCCATTCTGCTAAATTGGGCTCATCAGCAGTCAGTAACAGCTTTTTGGACCAATACAGTTCTTAATAGACCTCAGGTAAACTGAATTTTAGTAAAACAATCATGAATGACAATTTATTATGACATAATCATTATTTAAGACAGAATGAATAACATCAGTTGGAAAATTCTATTTCAGAAATGATCACATCTGGTGGATCAGCTACAGCTTGGCAAAGGCTTTTTAGGACATGTCTTTACCTGGAGCATCCACGGGTCCAGAAGAATTCCCAATATAAATTGCCCTCCAATCATACTTGATCCTGGAAACTGGATAGTCACTTCTATGTTGTTTTCTGGGTATCAATATGGAAGTGATTTGCCAAGGCCATTTGCCACTTTTTTAAGTTCTTACAGCTCTAATATTTCCTGAAAGTCTGATTTCCGAGTATTAACCAAGACGGACTCTATCATTTCTGAGATCAGACAAAAATCAGTAAGTCTATAGACATAATAATATTAGTGGAAGGGAAGGGAAAGAGAATATTACAAAAAGTGAAATATTTATTTTTTTGGATACCCAAGGATTCCAAATATAAGTTTGCCCTTGATCAATCCTTACCAACTTTAAGTATTTCAAGTAGAAGGTTTTTTTTTTTTTTCCTATGCTGGTGTGTACAAAACAAATGTGTATTCTAACTGAAAACCTTGCTAGTAATTGTCCATAAATGAGAGAAAAATAAAACCCTTTAGTCTACAGATTTGTACGTGTCTTCCAGTGAATAAAGCCTATTGAATAGAATGAGATTTATTTTACACCATTAGTGATTTGCTGGCTTTCATTTCTCTGATAAACAAGAAAAAGTCTTCTTATTTTGCTTCTGCTCCTAGGTGACTTCCTTATGCAGCTGTTAGACTGCTTTAGGACTTAAGGAAGTTTGTGTTGAACTCTGCAGGCTTCCTGGGGGAAAACTCATGTTTTTTTGTTCTTAGTAAGAACTGAGCAAAAGGAGAAATAAGCCTCAGAGAATGAATGTTCCTTGCTGAGACTTTTTTCTTTCTGAGGGTTTTGAGGAAAATGAAGAGGAGAAGGAGTTCTACTATGTTGTTAGTTGATTTAAGGCTTGTTACATAATTATTTTATCTTCCAATTCATATCATTTTTGAAAAAAACATATCAGGCATAAGCAACAGGATGCCTGCATATATCAATCTGTCTGTAGACATTTTACTACTAAGCACTACCCCTGACTAGCTAGACATTGTTATTTTGTAAATGATTTTTGTGATGATGCAAAACAAAAATATAATTCTTGTCTCCAAAAATACACCTGGGTTCACATAGCCTCAGGAATGTTCTTAGAAAATAAAAAGAATAGGTTATTATACATGAGTGGTCTAACAGTGAGTCTTCTTCAGGTAGTTCATCTGAATGAATTAGATAAATAAAACTCTTCAGAACTGTCATAATTCAGCAACAAAGAAATTGAAATTTGACATTTGTTGACTTTTAAAGATTACCAGTAGTCAGCTAGAGGGAGAAAACAATATATAACAAGCACCTTTTTTCAGATTTATTTTCTAAATCCCTATAAAACGTCAGGGAGGTGACAGAGAGCAACTCTCTTGGGCCTGGAAGTAACAAGGAAAATCCTTTCCATGTAACCCAAAAACACAGAGCATTATTTTTTTGCTGACAACAAAGTAGCAAAGTTGTGGAAGACAGCAGACAGCGCATGAATTTTGGTGACATTTATTACCCAAGTATAACCTGCTTTTCCTTTGGCCAATTCCACACATATTGTTTACCTGTTAATTCATCCTAAGGCTCCAAATACATATCATCAAATCAGACCTCACAGAGACAACATTTGTCTCTCTGGGACATCTGTGTCATCAGCAGTATGCTTCTATGACCCCCTCATAAATATTACAGTTAAAGATGTCTGGTGTTCTCAACCAGCACAACCCTTAGATAAATCGAGCAGAACAAGCCCTGAACAATATTTCAGCTTTGGGATTGTTTGTGGAAAATCTATCCATCATTCCAGCCTTGACAATTTTGTTGACTCTGAAACAAGAGATGGATTTTATGGCTGTCAAAAATAAGGTAGATGAGTTGGTTCTTATGACCTCTTGGGAACTACTGTGTTTGAGTGGGTAGATGGGTGGATGGGTGAATGCTAATTCAGCTCATAATTCTATGTGCTTCCATCCTGATAGGTTTGTTGTTTGACAGCAGACTTGTCTCACTGGCTGACAAATGCAATCATGGTATTCAGAGGGTAATTGCAGCTTTCAAGCTGTATCTTCTTCTATGTAGATTTCACCATGTGACGACTTTTCACATGGAAAAGAAGAATTAGCTACTTCTATGTTAGCTGATGCTCTCAAATAACTGCAAAGGAAACTGCTAGAGCCAAAATTATAAAATGCATGTTGATACTGCTCATATATGTATTCAAGCATTACAAAGGCAATTTGCTGGAAAGCAGATTTAAATTATGGTACGCCTTTTGTTGGGTAAAGAAAACAATTAATGATGATGATGTGTGAGTAATCTACTATTAGATTCACAGTCTAAGACTGGTGGAAACTTCATAATTCAAATCCTAATCAAGCACCCAAGAATTATGAAGGTAGCATCTAAGAATATAGGCAGTTCCAAGTTGGTGGGAATTTTTTGTAAAATTTGAGTATTCCGGTGTAAAAAAAATCAATATTTCCAGGTACTGAGGAAGTTCTGAAGGCTTCCTATCATAATTAGCATACAATGGATGTCTTTTTCCATAAGCATTCAACTTTGATATGCAAGTCTCAGTGCTTCATTTTTCCCAATTGCTTTTCCTCAATCTTAGAATCACTTGGAATAGCAACATCAATGAACTAGATATTAATATTTTCAATGGTTCATTGCATAGTTCAGACTGGATTTGGCATTTTTGTCCACCTATCGAGTCCTTTTCAAAGACCTGGGAATGGCAGCTGTGAATATTTGATGGTATTAGAGGTATCATCACAGTATATAAACTGTTCTGAGTAAAGCTGCCTTTTGTAATTGACTGATGGTGATCTTATCAATGCCAATGGCATTCAAGTGCTGTTCCAGTTGTTTTGGGATTGCACCCAAGGTGCGTATTACTATTGGTACTACCTTTGCTTTCTTTTGTCATTCTATTTTTATTTGCAGATCTTTGTGTTTTATTATCTTCCCCAGTTCCTTTTTCTTCTATTCTGCTGTCACAGTACATGTACTACCATATGTACTATCCAGACTTTTTTGTCTTTCTTATAAAAATGATTAAGTCTGGCATGTAATGTTGAAGTGCCTGTTTGTTCGAATTCTAAAGTCCTAGAACATATTAGCGTCTTCATTTTCTGTTACTTTCTCTATTTTGTGGTCCCATCAGTTATTAATTACTATGATTAAATTAATTTATATGCACCCCAAAAAACTCCCAGTGACTCTTGGTAGTTTACAAATTTTTAAAAACATTAAAACATGAAAACAATTCAAACAAACAAACAAACAAAAAGAACAAAAATGGAAGAGAAAACAAACCTGAAGAGGAACAAAGAAAAAGAATGAAAGGGGTGTCAATCATCCTCACTAAAGGCCTGGATGAACATTCAGGAATTCAGAGCTCTTCAAAACACCAGTAAGATGGTGTGTGTGTGTGTGTGTGAGGGGGTGATTATTCAAATCTAATGAGAAACATATTTCCAGAGGGCAGGCATTGTTATAGAGAAGTCATGCTTCTGGGGTCTTAATAATTCACTTAAGCATTGCATAACTGAAGGAACCCAAAATATGCCAACCCTACTAGCTATTGTTGAAAGTATTGATATGGTATTGTTCAAATATAGGTGAGAAATATATGGTATGTGATATATCTGGGCTTTAGTGGTTCAAATTGCATTCCTTCACGCCTAAATTCCTTCCCATTGAGTCTTATCCAAAAATATCTCAACAAAGCAGAGATTAATGCCTGCAATGCCCTCATTCATTTGACTCTCTTATTTGAACTAATTCATCTAAAGCGGTGTGGATATCCTTGTGTGCTGTGGATATGGCCTTCATACTCCTATTATTTTGGTACAGATGTGCATCACCATCCCACTACAGTGTGTTTTTAAGTCTGACACAGACCAAAATGACCCATATAAATAAACACTGGAAGAAGGGAAGACTTCTGTTCCTATTACTTGTGTTATTATTTGCATGGCTGGAATTCAACAGTAGTAATTTATTGTTCAAAATCTGGGTCTCTCTTATTTAGTTATGATCCTGATTTATATCTTCCTATTTTCTTTATGTTCTTGCTTATAATCTCTTGGTTATTTATTGATTTCAATTTCTATTATTTACTAAATGCAAAACTTTGACACATTTTCATCAGTTGTCCTAAACCTGCTTGATATTTGGCATGTGTGATGACATGTTTCATCTGTATAATCTTTTAATGTTGCTTCTTATTTAGCTTCCTAACATTTATGGATATCTGGTTCTCAAAAGATTTATCTCTCAAGTCCAGATGACTTTTCCAGCCTTTGCTCTCAGCCTATATTATAGCTGCTGGATCTCATAGAACAAGGTGAAGGAGTATTTGGGAGGAGTGATTTGTCATGAAATAGTATGGTTTCAGGCTATGAATTTTGAATAGGAGAATAAATTAGTTAATGGAATAAGAACATTTTTAATACTGGGGAAAATACGGTGACACAAGACATATTGCTGCAAACTCCGTGTAGGTACCAGAAAGGCCATCCGGCTAGTATGTGTGTGTGTGTGTGTATCTGATAACTATTGTTTTTATTATCAAATTCTACTCTTTTTTTTTTAGTTTAGTTTAGACTATAAAGCAAGAACATTTTATAGAGTCACTGATAATTGGTACCTACCATAGTACAATCATGTGGCCAAGACTAACAATTGCTATTTCAGCTCCATGGTTAAGATACTAACATAGGATACTGCACCTCTCGTTTTAGTTGTTTGCCCATAGAATACTGTATGCCAGGGGATACATGAGCTGGTTGTGAAATTTGGAATTTTAAGATGAATTGTTTAGGTGTGATCACAGTAGGGATGCTGGGTGGGCATTGCTCACTCACAAAATAGTTGCCTCGGAGAGATGACTAATTATAAACAAAGATTTATGAGAACATTTCCTACCATACACTCACTCAAATGATATACTCTAAGGGTTGGACAGGATCTTGAAAATAAAATTACTAACGGTTAGTGTGTAAAACCCATTAGAACAACTCAATATCAAAATATAGCCCAAGTATTGTCTTTCTTCCCATGCACTCTGCAGTAACGAAAACCTATAAACACTGCTGAACTATAGCTTTTAGCAATTAGCTAGAACCAGAAAGAAAATTGAATTTCTGCATAGCATGCTTAGACAGATCTATATTATCCAGCAATTACTTTTCCTGTGATTGAGATTTTCCTATCAAATATACAAGTCCTTATTCAGCAAAGGTATCTAACAACTTCAGTTAAAAGTTTATTACCTGAAGATATGGTCCATTTCATTTCTTGTTGTTAATCTTGTATGGGGAATTCATGATGCACAGCTTGTTAATTGCCA